TTTGGGATTGCACCTGTTTACGCGCCTGTGTGTTGGACTGTGGCCAAGTGTTCCGTGTGGGAAAGAGCTTTTCTGTGTGGGAAAGCTCCCCATCGTTAGACTGATCGCTGAGCCTCACCAGCTGCAGGCTGTTTTGACTGGAATGGGGAATGTTAATCCGTCCATCCTGCTTACCCCGTGCATGCTAGCCAATGATGAGCAGTGCATGAAGCTGAGGAGACCTGAGATGTTTGCACATGAGTCTGAGGGCAGATGTCTCATCTTTTTATTGTGTGAAGAGTATCTTCACACATGCAGGGTAGCATGGAACTACAGTCTTCTGCTGATTGATTTCCTTGGGGAAGAGAGCGTAGAGTTTGGCCATTTCATTACCCTGACTATCCTGGAGGTCTTACTGATGGTGAAGCTGAAAATGTCCAGCTGATGGTGTTATCGAAAAGCGATCCTTTGTAAAACTTAATTTAATCATTTTTATCAATTTGCAGTGATTAAGAAACCTAATGGCTATGAAACAGTAGCTAGTAGCTTGGTGGGGATCAGTGTTGTCCCAGTCTATGCTGGTCCTGATTCTCTCAGCCTGTGCTGGTCCCGCATCTCCCAGCCTGTGCTGGTCCCATATCTCCCAGCCTGTGTTTGTCTTGTGTTCCTCAGCCTGTACGGGTCCCGCATCTCCCAGCCTGCACTGGTCCCGCATCTCCCAGCCTGTGCTTGTCCTGTGTCCAATACAGCACCTATGGGAAGTGGCAGAATGGGAGATTCTCATGTAGTATGTGTACAGTTCTCGCTAAACAATAAAGCGACCACTGTAGTCTGCTGTAAATATAGACAATATGTTTTGCAATAAAATGGCAGGATGAAAGGATCAGTGTTATGGCGGGGCATGACGAAGGAGAGACGATCTGCATAGCGGCTCTCAACAAAGGGGTTTATTTAACAAATCAGAACACAAAGAAAGAACCAGAAAATAAAGGGACCATGAGGGGTCAAAACAAAACAGGGAAAATAAGAACTAACTAGAACTAACCACAAAGAAACCAAAAACTACAAGTAAGACGTGGGGACCAAGCAAGGAGTAGAATGACACAGCAACTAACATACAGCAACTAACATACAGCAACTAACATACAGCAACTAACATACAGCAACAACAAGGCAACACAACTGAACAGAATGACCAACTAAGGAACAGAACGAGGAAGGCAGGCACTTAAATACACAGATAGCAAGGCCTTCATGAGGGGCAGGTGTGGACCAAAATAATTAACCAAACACTAATTAAAAGGTGAGGGTTATAACAAACACTTAACGGTTCAAACACTAGGAGAAACCAGGATAACAAGACTTAAATCTGGGGCACAAGCAGGAATTAAACGAAGGTACTAAATAAGGAACCTTACCTAAATACACAGCAGGAATAAATCAAAGGTGGCTACTGTAGCAATCTCTGTTTTAGTGCATCCCAAAGGTGTTTCATGGGGTTGAGGTCGGGACTCGGGGGGAGTCAAGTTCTTCGACACCAAACTCACCCAACCACATCTTTATGGACCTTGCTTTGTGCACTGGGGCACAGTCATACTGGAACAGCAAAGGGCCTTCCTCAAACTGTTCCCACAGAGTTGGAAGAATAGAATCGTCCAAAATGTCTTGATATGCATACCAAGACATTTTGGACAATTCAACATCAGTGCCTGACCCTGCAAAATGCTCTTCTCGACAAATGGGCAGAAATTCCAACAGACATGCTCCAAAATCTTGTGGAAAGTGCCCCCAGAAGAGTGGCAGCTATTATAGCTACAAAAGGGGGGTAGCGCCATATTGATGCCTATAGATTTGGAATGGGATGGCATAAATGTTCCTGTGTATATTGGCCAGGTGTCCCAATATACAGCGTATTTGCACATTTCCATTTTCGTATAGATGGTAACAAAGCTGCAAGCTAAAAACACTAAATTAACTTTTGATAGTCAGTATAATCTATCTTACTTCAGGTGTAAGTATACTTTAATTCCTATCAAAATGCAGGATATTTCCATCTACATTGATTTAAATTTTGTTAGCTTTTGAATTGAAAGTTAACTATTTTGAGCAGAGTATGTAAATGAAAATTTTGCAGTAGTTATACAGAATTTGTTGGTACCCTTCCATAAAAAACAAACGAAAAAACACAACTATCTCTTAAATAACTTGAAACTGACAAAAGTTTAATAACATCCCTTATTGTTTATTCCATATTTAACACAAATCAGACTTTGCTTTTCATTATCGATTCAGTCGAATATTCGCTGTACTTCACAATGATACGTCTGCATTTGCCAACAGGTAGTTTGGCCCACTCTTCCTGAGCTTAACCTGTCTCATGTTTGAAGGGTGGCGTCTCCACACTGCAATTTTCACTGCAATTTTCAATCTTTCCATAGATGTTCAATAGGATGTGGGCTCATGGAGGGCCATCTATAAATAGGCCAATGTTTTTTTCACAGCCATTCTTGAGTGCTTTTAGCTTTAGATATTTTGTGTCATTATCCTGTTGGAGGACCCATGACCTGCGACTGAGGCTGAGCTTTCTGACACTGGGCAGTACGTTTCGCCCCAGGATGCCTCGGTAGTCTTGAGACTTCATTGAGCCCTGAACAGATTCAACGTTCCCCGTGCCAGATGCAGCAAAGCAGCCTCAAAACAAATCCTAGCCCCTCAATGTTTCACAGTAGGTATGGTGTTCTTTTCTTTTAAGCTTCATTTTTCATTTGGTAAACATAGAGCTGATGTGATTGGCCAAAAAGCTCCAGTTTTGTCTCATCAGTCCAAAGGACTTTGGGGCTTGTAAACATGCATTGGATGAAGAGTCCTCAAACTCAGACCTAAAGGAACATCTGACCTAAAGGTTATCCTAAAAACTTGCATAGACACTGGCCCTTTGCAGATAAGATTGGCCACCTCTGGTATGCACAGTTTAGGTCACATAGTTTACTGATACGGTGCATGTGTTAAGTGTTTTAAAAATGGGGACAAAGTATTGAGACAAGTCTGAAAACAATTGTAATAAAAACTGTAAACGATGCCGTTAGGCCTGGTTAAGCCTGTGCATGTTTGTATTGCTTGTATAGTTTGTGTAGTATGTGTATTACGTTAGCGTGTGTGTACTGTGTAGTATGTGTGTATGTATTGTGTATTACATGTAGTGTGTGCACTGTTTGTATTCCATGTAGTGTGTGTATACTGCGCTTATTGCATGTAGTGTGTGCATAGTGCATGCATTGCATGTAGTGTGTGGACTGTGTGTATTGCATGCAGTGTGTGTGTACTGTGTGTATTGCATATAATTTATGTGTACTGTGTGCATTGTGTATTGCGTGTAGTATGTGTGTGTACTGTGTGTGCACACGCTCACTCCCCATATCTGCACTGGCTGCAGTCTCATGTTTTACATTTTCAGTGTCTCTGACAGGTCAAACAGAACTGCAGCAGAGGGACATCAAATCTGTTCTTGAGATGTTGTGCTGTTCCTTTACTGAGAAAAAGCAGTCCGTCATGTCAGCGCCTCATGAAGGATTGAATCACAGTGACTTGGTGCCGGCGAGATGTGGATTATGGATACTGCATTTTATATGCTAAAGCCACAGAGGTTTGAATGAGAGTCTTGACGAGAACTGGGTTTTGTATGACCTTCTCAATAAATCAATAGATCCTGGTGGGGGGGCATTTGAGGTGGCAGTGAAGTGGCAGCAGCTAGCCATCAAAAGCTAATGGGCTAATTCCACCCAACCTGGGCCAAAGGCTGCTGTAATCAAACAATACTCTCTCCATACCAACAGCATGCAGATTAAACACAAGGAAAACATACAAACTGCACATGCACAGCTGGGGAGGGATTCACAGTCACATAAACACGGGGAGAACATGCAAACTGCACACACACAGAGCTGGGGAGGGATTCACAGCCACATAAACACGGGGAGAACATGCAAACTGCACACACACAGAGCTGGGGAGGGATTCACAGCTTGGAAAAAAAATCAAAGTTCTTTCTCACTTCATGGATAAAAATCCTTGTATCATACAAGACACACATATGTCATATAAATAAAATCCACACCATCATTATTTGTGTTTGTACACATATGATTCTCATGTTAAATGTATTTCTGGGTTCAGCTTTGGGCTGGGGGCTGTCTGCTCAGGGTGCTTCGTTCATCCTGATCCCATATACAGTATAACCTGTGATAAGAACTGATACTTCATGGTGAAAAACCTCCCATTATTGTTACCAGCTGCAAGTTAATATACCACAGCGTTTTTTGAAAAGAATAAATCTTTAAAAATCCTTCATCTTCACAATACAGGTTTGACTGGACACCAGCATTGTCACATAAATTAAACTGTGTTTGAAATATTAAAGTAATTAAACACCACATTTTACTGACTGCCATGTAGGAACACAACAGCAGTCATTATAAATGAAACATGTAATTGTATATAGAGGGTAGGAGGCAGATGCTTAGGGGGACAGAAGGACAAAACAACAGGACAAACAATGTAGGCAAAGCAGTGCTGACTCGTGACAGCCCTCGGCAGGACGGGCATAATTTGCAGTTTACTCATCGCAGTATGATCCTGTCTGAATGGGAGACAGATTTAAACCTTAAAAAAGTCACTTTCATGAGACAGAATTGATCCTTTAATCACACACTGAGAAAAACAGCAATAATAGTGCCCCCCCCCTTTGAAGCTTTGGTCTGATTAGCTGTCCGGGATTCAGGGTTTGAGAAGGTGATATTTCTGTACATCCTGCTCCACTTCAATGAGCCCAAGGAGACCAGCCCAGGCTCTGAAGACCCCCGAAGTTCTCGTGGTGATACGCCTGGACTTCAGAGAACTTCAGTGGGAGACACCATTACCTTCTGACAGCTTATGGTGGTCAGAGTCAGGAGGGATTGGACTTTTCTATAGACCATCCATCTTATAACCGTTAATGCTGGTCAGAGTCATGTTCGGCTTAGAACTTACTGTAGACTAGTCCATCCATCCGGCCATAAATATTTTGTGGTGCTTATATTTCCAAAAATCTCCCTCAGTAGGTCCCCCTTACGCATGTAGGAAGAAGATCAACTTCACATTATGGTGCGGTCTTGTAAGGGTAACACACTCATCTGATCCCAGCTTCCGGCTAATTCTTGTCCTTCAGGATACCATTAAAATACTTTAAACAGCAATTTTGTGACATGTATTGTATTCTGTGCTTCCATGACTGGAAAGCCACAGTGGGACGGGCTGATAAACTGCCCAGACTCTGCCTGTGAAGCTCTTTGCTGAGCATAGCTCCATGGGCAGCCACTTGATAGAGAAACAGAGGTAACAGCGCGTCATAACCCTGCTTCCCGAGAAGGTCCTGGGTAGGCAAGGAGGCTTCACTTGCTCCTCTCACACCGGGCAGCGCAGAGGCGCCACCTCGGACACCCAGCGAACCGTCTGATCCAAGGACGGCAGATTGGCTTCTCCAGCTCGCAAGCCTGTGCGTCTCACACGCGTTATTTACCGTCGAGCATCAGTAGCAAAGCTCACATTATCTTCGGCGTCAGCTGCACGAAAGCGCCTTTTGCCATGCAGATATGGATAAAGTTGATGCTGTTGTACAGCTGTTGTTGTTTCGGAGCAAGTGCGGACTTTGGCGGCAGGTAAAGGAAACGTTACTTTAAATGTTAAGTTAAATTGCGATCGTTATCACCTTATAGCATTTGGAAAACCCGTGCGATTAAGTGTACCTATAACACACGTACTGACAAAAAAATGATTTACTTTAGAAAGAACTGCAAAATAAACACATGTGGAAATGCTTTTTGGGTACAGATGCTACCGATATTTTCCAAAATGAAGCATTTCTTTTGTTTTTTGAGCAACCATTATTAGAAAATGCGCAAACTTTATTATTAATGTAAACCAGCGTATTAATATTAGTGACCGTTGGGAAGGGGCTTACAGGAACCGAAATTAGCCCTGCTGATATGTCATCGTTTGTGTGCTGCTTTCTGTCACTCACTGCCCTCACGCGCGGTTTGCATCGCTTCCGTCTTTTATAAAGATGACAACAGCATAAAATGATATAATGATACAGATTATATTCCTTAAATAAATGGAATAGGAGGTGATTGTACCTACTTTCTAGACCGGCGGTCTGATCAGGTCGCTGGAACCGGCAGCCACTAACTTGACAGTCAAGCAATTAAGATGCATATTAGTATAAGGAAAAAAATTAACTCCGTATGCATCAGTGGGCAGAGGTGTTGGCTCACACCTGCCCCCCCGTGTGTAGGGATTGTGCGTACTCTCCTCTCTGTTTTACTCTTCTCTCTAAATTGCCAGTACCGTATGACTTTGTGTGTGTGTGTCTGTCTGTTTGTGTGGGTCTGTGTATGTGTGTGTGTGTGTAGTGCGTGCGTGTGTGTGACCGCGGGTCAGATATGCATTACATTGTGGTGTGTGCTATCTTGACGTTGTTTTTTCGTTCCCCACAAGGGGAAATTCAATTTTATACAAATCTGTTACTGCAATCAAAAAACGAATTATGCGAAAAGTCTTGCATTTTGTTTGGTTACTTGTGGTTAAGGTTAGGGCTGGGTAGGGGTTAAGGTTGTCATAGTTGGGATTAGGGTTATGCTCAGAGAAATGAATGGAGAGTCCCCACAAAAATATGAATACAAATGTGTGTGTGTGTGTGTGCGCGCATGCGTACACACACTCTCATGCCTGTGTGAGTGTCTTTCTGCATGAATAAGTGTGTGTCTGTGTGTGACATTGTTCATCTTGTGTAAATATCAGTTGCACTTAACCCCTACCCAGCCCTAACCTTAACCATAAGTAACCAAACAAATGCAAGACTTGGCATTTTTAGTTTTTTGATCGCAGTCACAGATATTTATATAAATAAGTTTCTCCATTTACAGGTCCCCACAATACCAATAATAATAGGTTTTTATCGCACTGCAGACATATATACATATATAATATATACATACAATATAATATATACATAACCCGCCTCACCACACACACACGCACACACACATACAGACATACACTCACACAGACAAACACAGAACTGATGTGTTAAGTGTTGATCTGCTGCATTAAACACACTGTCTACCCCGGCAGACCTTGCAGTTGCATTGTGCCCTATGCGGTGCCGCTTTCCCGTGTTGCCCACCATTACAGGCACCTGTTGTTTCTCATACATCTTCTCTTACCTCATTTGCATGAGCTACTCTGATTTGACTGAGGTGTTTACAGTTTGTAACATAAAATCGCAGCAGGCTAATAAATGGTCTTTCAGAGATTGAAAGCATGACGCCATCAATGGGAATATAAAGCACTGTGCTGTAATACTAAAAAAGTGTAAATTGCAAAGTATAAAATGTAAAGTGTACAATGTAGCGCGTGAAATGTAGAGGATTGAATGTAAAGTGTGAGATGTAAAGTGTGAGATGTAGACCTTGTGCCATTTTAGGAGGGATTTGGTTAGCCCCACTTCAGTAAATACGTAGTCTGCTTTCTGTTATCCCATTAATCTAGTGAATGCACCATAACTGGAATCTCCTACACGGGAAGGCGGATCTGTGTACGTCCGCAGGGCTCGTGTCCTTGCTGGAGTAGAAGTACAGACACGCCCCTTTGGAAAAGCTCCTTTGACCGTGAATCGATTCACGAACACCTTTAATATGCACCATGCGTCTGTTGTCATTGTTTGTCCTGCCTGACAGCAGCAGACATCTGTCTCAAGGTGTTTTCTACCAAGATTTAAAAAAAATGTAATGTCTTGCTTGGTAGGAGATGAGGATGACCTGGGTGGCCCAGAGGGTCCTGCCACAGCCACCTATGAAGCCAAATGTCTATCTTTACATATATCTGCATGTCTCTGCCTCACACTTACTGGACCATTTTATTTTATGTTTTGTGTCTAGCTTACCTGGTGTGTTATGGTCCTGGATTTATTGCTTAGTATCTCCCATGACCTAAGTGACTGTCCGCCGATGCAGGAGTGATTCTCCCAGATATTTATTCCCAGTAACCCAGGACTATCTCCTCTCACAGGTGGCCAAGACCGATGATCTCCTCAACAGGTCTCTGTCGCTACGGGGCCAGAATCGACTGCTGCTGGGGCTGGACGCGCCGCTCCTGGGGCCAATGTCAACGTGAGTACTGCTGCCAGGGTCTGCTGGGCTTTGGCCATTGTGAGCATGAGTACTGAGTATGGCTGCCAGTGCCCATCGGGACTGAGCCAGTGTCAGCATGAGTACTGAGTATGGCTGCCAGTGCCCATCGGGACTGAGTCAGTGTCAGCATGAGTACTGAGTACCGCTGTCAATGCACATTGGTCCTGGGTCAGTGGTAGCTTGAGTATGAGTACCACTGCATGCTGGGCTTGGGCCAGTGTCTGCATGAGTACTGAGTACTGATGCCTGCCAGCATAAACATGGATGTGCGTGCTCCTGTACACTGTCCATCTAGGCTGTGGATCTTTCTCAAGCGCCTTGCTGTGGTGAGGTCGACACGTCCTTCCCCAGCTTCACGCAATGTGCTGCTCATTTTGGCAGCTCTGATAAGCCCTCAGTTCTCCTGTATCAACTGTCTTTCAGGGTATATGTCACTGTCCTCTAACGATGGATGAGCGTGACTCTTTATCTCGTCACATTGGTGACACGGCCGAGGGTCTGGGGACAGAGACATCTGCCTCGCTGCCACAGACGGGCACATTTTGTGTAAAGGAGAAGTTGTGTTACTCCCTTGATTTTCAGTTCTTACTCTGGTTTTCTCAGCTGCTCAGCACTGCAGGTATGCCTATGCTTCCGCTGATGACTTCCTGAGTCTGGGCAGTAGCCTCAGTTCTTTGGCTTAGCACTGGTGACACTGGTGTAGGGCCCCCATCCTCTCTCACGCTGTTACGGCACATTGAGCTGTCCTCAGCACTCACGTCTGGATCAGAAGGCTCCGTCTGCTTCTGTCATTACAAAGAGAAAGGGAATGACGGCGGAGTGTCTCACTCGGAGCCTATATGCTCTTAAAATATTGATGACATTTTACGGGGTGGTAACGTTAGCTGGAATTTGACAGCTTTGTGAAATAACCGGCTTCTCTTAAATCTATTTTCATGCGTCCTTTCCGCCTCGCCGGGGTCCCCCCCCCCCCCCAAAGTGAAATCAGCTGGCATTATTAGCCTATGTGAACAATCTTTACGTGAACTATTTTGTCCCTGTACATGACAGTGTGTGTGTATGTGCATGTGTGAATTTTGGCTGGCTTGTATTTGTAATTCTGCCTGCAGGGCTTCAGGAAAATGTTCTTATTTCAAAGACTGCATATGGCCATCAGTGTGGCGGTTTGAGAGCCCCTGTCGGCTCCTGCTGATACTGCTGAGGGTTAGGCTCTTCTGCTCCCTATGTCTGCGTGCTTCTGTAGATGCCGTGAATCCAGCATAGCTTCACTCCAGATGCATCATAAATCCTTAGAGACATACCCTCCATCACTGTTGCCTGTTGGTGTTTTTTGAATCCTCGTTTTACTGTTTACTTACAACATAACTTACATCATCGGGTCCTGAAACCTTGAGAATTGCCCCATGGAGACTGGTGAGTGGAATAGAGTGCTGACAAGGGCCCCTAGAACACGTCTCCCTGGGGGGTGACCCCATATGCCATCTGTGGCCAGCTGCAGGCCAGTATGTCAGCAGGACCATCCTGGGACCCAGCCTCAGGGTGGGCGCCTTAGCGTGGGTGCCCCGGGGTGGGTGTCCTGGGGTGCGTGCCTCAGGGTGGGTGCTCTAGGGTGCATGCCCCAGGGTGGGTGTCCTGGGGTGCGTGCCCCGGGGTGGGTGCTCCAGAGTAGAGGGGCCCAGGGTGGTTGTCCTGTGGTGCGTGCCCCAGGGTGGGTAGTCCAGAGTAGGGGGGCCCAGGGTGGGTGTCCTGGGGTGCGTGCCTCAGGGTGGGTGCTCCAGAGTAGAGGGGCCCAGGGTGGGCGTCCTGGGGTGCGTGCTCTAGGGTGCATGCCCCAGGGTGGGTGTCCTGGGGTGCGTGCCTCAGGGTGGGTGCTCCAGAGTAGAGGGGCCCAGGGTGGGCGTCCTGGGGTGCGTGCCTCAGGGTGGGTGCTCCAGAGTAGAGGGGCCCAGGGTGGGCGTCCTGGGGTGCGTGCTCTGGGGTGGGAGTCTTGGGGTAGGTGACCCAGAGTGGGCCTTGTGCATTGTCTGGTCTGCGTTTTCTGTCTCCCAGAATTTCAACTTCATGCTTTTTTATTCAGAAGATGTTTAATGTTCATCCCCCCACCCCCAATCCCGATGTCCCATGGTGCTCTCTCACAATGCACTGCAGCACAGCGATGGTCGTAGCGCTGTGAGGGCTCGTATATCTGCTCTGTGCGTCTGTCCCCTGCTGCTACTCAGTCTGCACACTGAAGCCCTGACTTGTCAGCTTCTCTCGAAAGCCAATGGCTGTGGGGAGCTAATCTCCAGCTGCTAATCTCCAGCTGCTGCCCTGTGGGACTGGCTGACGTCTTTTATGGGTCTCTGATGCTCTACTTGTACACACTCAGCCTGCCATGTCAGGGCGCCCTGCGCTCCCTCAGGACGCACTTCAAAATGATGGCCAGGATTATGTTCAGTGTCTCGTCTGACTTGGTTTACCACACTCTCCTCTGTCATCAGGAAAAAGGAAGGAGTTCTTCCTCACATACATCACCCTGGGACCCTCCGCCTCACAGGAAGAATCATCCCAAAAGCTTTGCTATTACAGGACAGACTGCAGTGTTTAACAGTGTTGCCTGTTAACTCTAAACCTAAATCTTTATAATCACGTGAGCGTATCCAGCAGACTTTATAGGTTCAGTGTGTACATGAGTGACTTCCTTTAAAGGTGCTTCGATGGATGTTAATTGCCTCATGACCATATGTAGCTGGATTCCTCTTTCACAGACACTCTGTCACCTGACCACCCCCATTCTGCGTGTTGCTGTCTCCCAAGCAGCCCTCTGTCGGCATGGCTGTAAGCATGGGGAGTGTGTCGGACCAGACCAATGCAGGTGCCATGCAGGGTACGCTGGGAAGGCCTGCAACCAAGGTGAGCACAGCTACTCTTAACGACTGTCCTCTGAGACTGCAGAGAGGGAGCTGGGTCTGGACTCGCATGTCTGTCTATTGCAGTTTTACAATTTCTGAGAAAATATGTTTTTCCCAAGGCGCACAGAGAACCAGTGCTTAGTTTAAAGCAAGTCACAGACCTGCCCGGTAAGTCAGCAAATGATATTACACTGTCACCATGACACCCCCGATAGGCCACACATATAGAACCCCCAAGATGCTGTTCCTCTGAAACCTTCATGAATGCTGGAGTAAGTAGGTACTGACAGATATGGCTCCCGTAGGTGATCTGTAGAGAGCGGAGCCGCTGTCAGTGACACCCCAGAGAGCTGGGGTACAGACTCCCTGCAGTCTACACCAGCAGCGAGGGGACACGGCACCGCCCGTGCATTACACTAAGCTCTCAGACCCTATTCCTGATCTAGGACAGCTTATCTCCCTTTTGACTGACAGCGCCTGATTATTTCCACCACAAAAAGTCCTTATCGCCCAGTGTTCTGATCTTGTGCTCCAGCCTGCCCATTATTTGGAGGTGAAGGTGTAGCCTGATCCATTCAGAGATATGGGCAGGATATTGTGGGGAATATATGTGGGGAGTATATGTAGAGAATGTATGTGGAGAATATATTGTGGGAAGTATACGTGGGGAGTATATTAGGGGGAGTATATGTGGAGAGTATATTGTGTGGAGTATATTTGGGGGCAGTATATTGTGGGGAGTATATTAGGGGTAGTATATTGTGTGGAGTATCTGTAGAGAGTGTATGTGGAGAGTATATTGTAGGGAGTATAATGGGGGATTATATGTGGAGAGTATATTTGGGGACACTGATTGCCACTTAAAAGTATGTGTTTCACTAGCTTTGCTCAATCTGGTTGTGTCACTGAAGTTTGTAGCGGGAGGCAGTCTCAGCCCCCCCCCAACGCAGAAAGATTCCTGCTTCTGATTGTCTTTTAAACAAGAACAAATTGCACCTGTCTGTGTGAAGAGTCTGCCTGACGCCTCGGTATAAACCTGTTCATGGCAGCAGCACCAGCTACTGTTTTCATGAAGTGGAGAAGGGCAGCTAGGTCGCATGTAGGCACTGGAAGAGCCAGGAGTCCAGGGTGTTCTGCCGGTGGGATGGTGTAGCAGCCACGAGCACCCGGAACCAGACAGCCAAGGGATGGGTCAAGGCCTGCTTTGAATATCCAGCCCTGAATAGTAACAGCTGCAGAAACACCAGCGACACATGTAGGGGACTCGAACCCACAAGCAGTCAAGCCTCAGGTGGTGTGTGTTGATGGCGCAGGCCTTTGGTTCCCCAGCTGACAGTCAGTTGCCTCTGCATCTGTGTGTGGTCAGTCTCCGCAGACTACAGTAGCATCAGGTACAAAGGCAGGATTTATATGAGGGATGTGGCACTGTGCGTACACATCCTCCACACAGCGATCAGCTCTGCTGCTGAAACACTCAGCAATGATCTTTATGTGAAGATGGATGAGCAGATGCATCATCATCTAGACAAATGCGCTGCTCATACGAGGGAATTCAGTCTGGGGCCACAGTGAAGAAGTGACAGCTATACTGCAATCTGGCAGGAAGGAGCCAGGAGGCATAGATCAACTGGTGGATATGAAGCAGACAGCAGTAGGGGAGTCTGACGGAGTGAGGGGAAGTCTATTGGGATGGGGGACAGTCTGTCAGAATGGGAGATGGCCTGTCAGAATGAGGGGCAGTCTGTCAAAATGAGAGGCGATCTGTCGGAAATAAGAATGATCTGTCGGAATGAGGGGTGGTCTGTTGGAATGAGGGCGGTTTGTTGGAATGGGGGATGGTCTGTAGGAATGGGGGGGCTGTCTGTCGGAATGAGGGGTGGTCTGTTGGAATGAGGGCGGTTTGTTGGAATGGGGGATGGTCTGTAGGAATGGGGGGGCTGTCTGTCGGAATGGGGTGGTCTGTTGGAATGAGCAGCGGTCTGTTGGAATGAGCAGCGGTCTGTTGGAATGGGGGTCTGTTGAAAAGCGGGACAATCTGTTGGAACGGAGAACAGTCTGTTGGAATGGGGGGTGGTCTGTTGGAATGAGGGGTGGTCTGTTGGAATGGAGTGGTCTGTCAGAATGTTAGCGGTAGTGACAGCTTTAATGGGCCATAGGTGCATATTCTCACAGCTTGGCACCCATGTGTGCCTAAATCAAACAAAGACAGAATGATGATGTGCTGCCATTGTCAGTATCATCCCTCCCACCTGCCTCACCCCCATGTGAACCTTACAGCGGGGGCAAGGAGGCGGTTTCGAAACGGCCCCCAATTAGCTGGAACTGACCCCTGACCTTTGCTTCCCACCTTTCTCTGTGCCCGCAGACTTGAATGAATGCGGACTGAAACCTCGGCCCTGCAAACACCGGTGCATGAACACCGTGGGCAGCTACAAATGCTACTGTGCGGACAGATACGTCATGATGTCCGACGGCACCTGTCGAAGTAAGTCATCCTGTCCCTTCCAATAAAGCCGTGTGATTGGCTGGGTCAAAGCCTGCCTTTCCTGTAAATCCACATGATTGGGTAGCCCTGAGTACTCCCTTCCAGTAAGGTCTTGTGATTGGATAGCCCAGAGTTAATTGTACTGCAGTTGCTGAGGTTAGGGTCAGGGTTCGATTTGAGCAGCCGGCCCCAATCTCCACCCCGCTGTACCTCTGGCTCTCCATCCAGATGCCCGGAGCTGTGCCATGGCCAACTGCCAGTACGGCTGTGAGGTGCTGAAGGGGGAGGTGCACTGCCAGTGCCCATCGCCAGGGTTACGCCTGGGCCCTGATGGCAGGACCTGCGTGGGTATGTAGGGCCTGGCTTCAACACCCAACATGGCAACCTGCATGCTGTGAGCTCTGAGAGAAAAGACCAGAAGGTAGGATGGGAACAGAGCAGACAGCAAAGACGCTGCAAGCAGCAAAACACAGAGCAGATGTACCTTATGAAGAACTGCTGGATTATCTTTATGGATTCTTTTGGGATAATAAGTCAGACAATTTGATGAATGACCAGTAATATATTTTGTGCATTATTATTGAATGGGGCATAAGTGTTAAGTTATTTCCTTTTCTGTTTTCTTTTTGTACAGATGTGCCATTTATCAAGTATTTCATTAACAGCCTTGGGGCTGTGTTTGTGCGGGGGGTCTGCATTTCTGCGGGGGGTGGGGGGGTGGGGGGTGGGAGAGAGGTCTTTCCATGCTTAATGTAATTGGCCCCACTGTGTATCTCCCTGATGGCGAAGTCAGAGCCCTGCACCCCCTCAAAGCACTGCACCCCCTCTCAGCACTGCACCCCCTCTCTATTATTACACCCAGCCACTGTATCACTGTATCAACTTCAGGGATCCCATTTATTTTCCTATAGCTCAGGTCTGAGAGGAAACAGGAAATAAGCAGACAGTGATGGGGGGCTGAGGGGGGTATGAGGGGGTGCGGATCCCCTGCTCCTCAGGTTTCTATTAGGGCAGCCAGTGAACACGGCCTCGCTTCCTGTAAAGACCATCACATGAAGAACACACTGGGTACAGCAGCTTATTTGAAGGGCTAAATTAAAGCTTGCAGGGCATGCATTATTCATTGCGGGCCAGCGGGGGAGCCGCTATTTTGGCAGACCATCAGCGCGCAGATGTGAGAGTAACGTTGGCTCCATTTCAGATGTGGATGAGTGCTCAGCGCGGCCTGCTGTCTGCCCCAAGCTGCGCCGCTGCGTCAACACCTTTGGGAGCTTCCTTTGCAAGTGCCATGTCGGCTTCGAGCTTCACTACGTCAGCGGGAAGCTCCAGTGCATCGGTAACCAGCTCTGCCATGACTGGCCGGTGCCGAATTCCAGCCGGGACCCTGGGCCAATGAGTATCGCCTCTTTAGTCCCGCATAGCTCAGGCATATTACTAAGCAGAGCTGCCACTGGGGGCTTGGGGGTTGGAACTCCACCTTTGCTGTTAAGGAACTAAATCTTTCCTCTGCCCCTTCCCACCCCCAAACCCTAGTGAGCAGCTAACGATCAACATTAACAGCTCTCTGGAAAGCCACTGAAATAGACAATCCTGCTATGTTTGATGTTAATGAAAAATTAAGAATGATGAAATGAAGCAGCAGTCGAAAGGCAGCAAGCAGCTCCATCCACTTTAGCTGATTTTCAGGGCTGCTAGAGCAAAACATCACGCAGAACCACGCAGAACCAACACTGGATAAGCCGGCTGAACTGGGTCTCCTGATAGGGGAGGATTGGTGCTGAACGGCTGGTACCAGAGTGGCAATAACAGTGGGAGACTGACAAAGTGACACTAACATTAACATTGACAGTGACACTAACAGAGACAGTGCCACTTACAGTAACACTGACAGAGTGACATTACTGGTGTGACACTGACAGAATGACACTAAGTGATACTGACCGAGCGACACTAACAGTGACAGCAGCAGAGAGCATATCACCATGGCCTGACACATGCAACTGATTACGCACTTCAGAGAGCGTTCATCAGAGTGCCTTTGCGACAGTGGGTTACCTGAGGAACCACTAAAATGACCACACCCATGCGAATGCCAGAGCATGTTTCATAGCTGACACTGCAAAGCAGGGTGACAGAGAGAAGGGTGTCAGAGTGTGACAATTTAGCCGCGTTATCCTCGGAGGCGTGCCAGCCTGTGCGTAAGAGGCTGCTTTGCTCCACCGACAACACTGATGTGGTGTCTGTTTACACCGGTAGCGGTGTCACACACCACGGTACATGCTGTGCTCCTCAGCTTTACTGTATCATTACAGCTACTCCAAAGGTGATCATCATGCCAACGAAAAGAACATCTGCTACCATGGCAACAGTGCTACCCGGAGGACATGTCCTGGTTCCCCTCCAACCCTCCTCAGTCTCGACTCCCCGTCCTACAGCTCCTCCCCACACTCCTACGGGACTCTCCTCAGTGCTCAACCAGCATCTCCCAGCCCCTAAACCAGAGGCCACCACCTTAGAGAATGAGATTCAGGAAGACAATCCTCAGAAGATACCTCAGCAGGAAGTGCCTCAGAAAAAGATCCCTCAGAATGAGATCACCCAGAAGGAGATCCTGCAGGAGGAGATTGCTGAGGAGATCCATCAGAAAGAGATCCCTCAGAAGGAGGTCACCCAGAAAGAGATCACTAAGAAGGAGATCCCTCAGAAGGAGGTCACCCAGAAAGAGATCCCACAGGGGGAGGTCACTGAGAAGGAGATCCCTCAGAAAGAGATCGTTCAGAAGGAGATCCCTCAGAAGCAGAGGGGCGATGTGCACAGTAAGCACTTCCATGTTTCCTCTGTAATCAAGCGATGGATTGATGATCAATGTTAACAAATAACAGGGTTTTTATGTCCTGTTCCTGGTTTCAAGTAACTGCTAATTTCTTTCTGATTAGAGTTTGTCACTGAGGACATGAAGATATTTCCTCACAGACACATCCCTGACAATAACACATCCCTGGTTTTTAAGCTGCTTTTCAGAGGGCCTGGCTTTTACCCCTTAAATGGGGGGGGGATGTTACCCTATCATGCTTCCTCTGCTGTTACTGTTACAGCAGCTCAGAAACACTCAGGCAGACGATAAAGAGAGAGGTCTGCAGATTCCTAACGTGGAGTGAATCAGATAGTCAGTCAGATTCCAATAATCAGCACAGTGCTGCTCTCACCTCCGTGTCGGCCTTCCTGTGTGGAAGCAGGACAGAGTCTCCTCTCTTGACTTCGCCTTATTCTTTTTCTATCCGTTTTTTCACCCTGTATAACCACATATCTCGCTGTGGCAATAAAAAGTGTCCACTGAACATGACGAACCTCAAAGATCATGTCACAAAAGACAGGAGAGTTACAAAATGTAACACGAGAAGCACCAAGTGGATAAACACAGGAGCGATTCTCTACTCTTAAATGGAACAGAATTTAAGTATTAACATGCATCTTAGGAATTAGCATTTTAGCAAAAAGTGATATTAGGCTGTACATTTGAGTGCTTGTTTCTCTGTTTTTCTTTAGTTCCACGCAATCATGGTCAGGACAGCATCGCAGATTTTGACGTTGAGCTGGGAAACACTGCAGAGGTTCTGCACGCAGACTCAGGTAAACAGGCTTTCAGCTTCCTACGGGGTCCTGTTTATGAGACAAGTGCCGCATTGGGAGGCCCTGTGGAGAGATCTGAATGAAAGAAAGGGGGGAAAAAATCACTGTTATGCATAAGAGTCTCTCCTGTGTACTGCGGCTCCACCTCAGTCTCACAAAATGATAAACACTAGAAAGATTAGCCGTTTTTTCAAGCTGGTTATGAAGCTAAACAGCAGCCTTCAGCGCGGACGTGAGAGCCCTTTACCTAAAGTGTGCATATCAGACAGTGCCTCACAAATGCTGACCAGGCATAAGATACACACACGGAACATTCTGCAGCAGTGTGCTGGTTCGCGATCAGATGATTTTAGACTCAACCAAATGTACTCCAGACTTCCCCTCGCTTTTTGTGGGGCCGGTCATTAAAGATTCATGGTCTCTTGTAGGTTTTCAGTCAGGGATGTGAATTGTGCGCCTGCTGACTATCTTCTTAAAGTGACTATTCTGGGGTCCTTGTAAATGACTGTGGGGCCTCACTGCCCTGGCAGCCCAATGTGCAGGAATGCTGCCTCACAAGCCGATCTCATCCTGTGGCAGATCCTCTTCAAGATGCAGGACTCCTAAGCTGCAGCTTTGATAACGGCCCGTGTGACTGGATTAGAGACGGGGAAGGAGAGACACGCTGGGAAACAGCGAGAGACCCCGCAGGTGCCATCAGCTTCCGGTTTCACTGCGTCATGGTTCCAGCCCAAAGTGTCCCCAGACAAGAACAGCCGTCCTACTTTCTGCTCTCAGTACGCTGTATCAGCTTAGGGGCTCATGTCAATGGCATAAGAGGGCTGTGCTACACGGGGACAGACGCGGCTTCCAGGGTGCCGCCCTTCCCATAATGCCACAGGAAGCTGGCGGGCAGACAGCAAGCATCGCTCTTTGGTGGCTTCTTATAAGTAACAGCCAGTGCAACACGGTACTGTGTGATTAAGGCGCTTATGCAGACAAGAGGTTGTCGGTGACCCGCCGCTGATCATACCGTCCTGCTGTTTAAGGTGGCACCTTTCTGACCATCTCAGCGACGGCGTCCAGGCGGGCTGGCCGGGAGGCTCGGCTGCTCCTCCTGCTGGCCACGCCGTGGAATGCAGGTGACTCCTGCCTCTCCTTCCGGCACAAGCTGATGGGGCATCGGGTCGGCGGGCTGCAGCTGTTCACCGGAATGGGCGAGCAGACGGGCCGGGTCCTGTGGAGCCGTACTGGGGGCCAGGGCTGGAGGAGCACGCAGGTCACACTGTGGGGAGGCGGTTTTGAGAGTGTGAGTGTGGGGGCGGGGCTCATGGGCTCGGGGGCGGGGCTCATGGGCTCGGGGGCGGGGCTCATGGGCTCGGGGGTGGGGCTCATAGGCTCGGGGGCGGGGATGGAGCAGCACGCATATCGCACTGTGGGGGGCGGGGCTTAAGGGCTTGGGGGCGGGGCAGCTGGGCCACTGTAGTATCCATGGCCACTCTTCTACTCTTCATGGCTTGGTGTTCCTCACAGGTGACCCTGAAGGGCGAGCGCAGGCGCGGCCAGAGTGGGGAGATCGCCATCGACGACATCAGCCTAAGGACCGGCCCCTGCACTGAGGATCGCCGTCCGCAGAAGCTTTAACTTCTGTGGGGGGGGGGGGCTCTGGGGAGGCAGTCCGGCTCCACCAGCCCAAAGAGCGGCGCACCGAACAGACACAGGATGGAATAAACTAGAACGTTTCACAAAATCGAGAAGCAGTAAGTGTGTGAAGGTTCAGCGCCCCCTAGTGTGCATGTGTCCCCATGCATGACAGAGAAGCCACACTCCTCAAAGACAGAAAGCACCATGAAAGAGTGGGAACAGGAACCCCACAGACGTCCGTGGCTGGAGCCCGTGGGACGTGCAGATGGTGGTGAAGCTCTGTGATGTCATCATCACTGACGTCACACACATATGCTGCCTGGTACCATGACAGACCATATTTAGTCCCAAACACACCTGAACTGACGAGTTCCACAACGGGTGGGACCATCGGAGCAGATCACATGACCAAACAGCATCACAGCTGTGGATTTAACATTTAACTGTCAGTTTTGAACTGTCAGTACTGTTGAAATAATTTTTTATCTTTTAGGGACCATTGTAGAGATTCTACAAAGCAATTACAGTACAGGATCCTCTGTTTTTATGGAAATGTCTTCTAAATGAAACTGCTGTATGCAGTCGTATAACTGTATGTATAACTGTATGTATAACTGTATGTATAACTGTACCTGGAGACTGTAGCCGATCTACATAATTAACATAGTAAAGGACCGGCTTGAACTGTCCAAGTTAATGTGTGTGTCACTGTAAGCCCCACAAAAAGCCTGTGTGTCATGGCGCCACCCTTGTGGTGACACTGCGTTTCATGGCGGTGCCCTCAAGTTGGTGACATGCTGCCCACTGCGTTTCATGGCGGTGCCCTCAAGTTGGTGACATGCTGCCCACTGCGTTTCATGGCGGTGCCCTCAAGTTGGTGACATGCTGCC